TGAATAAATGGGTGGAGTACTAAAGCCCTTTGAACAGTTTTCTAGCCTAACTAGTGAAATCAGTTAAAGAACTTTTAAACTCAAGTGCCTCATTCACTAAGTATATAAAAAACACCAAGTTTTTCATGAGAAAGCACATGATACACAGAGGCAGCTGCCCTGAGAGATAGCATCTGGTAACAGCCTAGAGTTATTTTTAAAGAGATAACTTCATGATAATGTACAGGAGACTGTGGCAGTCCTGTGGGAAGAAGAGAGCGAGAATTTGGGAAGAAGCTAAGTTCTCTGTACAAACTCAAAATAATCCTATAAAACAGCCCATCGTTCCCAGTGTCCTTTTGATCCAAAGACATGCACAAGTCTCTGAACTGGACAAGTTCAACTAGGGCCATGGCCTTCCTATGCCAGTATCAGTAATGGTTTCCCCTTGTTGTAAAACATTTGACTAATCACTCTTAGACCCAGAACATAACATCAATACTGGTACAATCCTGTGCTCCTCCTTCTGCACATTCTTCTGAAATACTTTTCTCATTAGTTTTCCTTAATCATGCTCTTTTCTTAAAAAAGAAAGACAAAAAGAAAAAAAAAAATGATCCTAGGATATGCACACTAAGCAGATTTTCACCCCAAAACTTAGCCTTAATCTTCTGGAGGCAAATGTCCTTTATAAGCTCACTCTTCTATGGTTGCCGCTTTTCCTAAACCGCAGGCCTTCCTGACTGGCAGCAGGGCCAGGGCAGATTACAGTTATGTGGTAGGTTCTGTTGGACGAGCTCTGACAAGGCCTCAAAATAGACCCTGGGCACCAGCCAGAGACACTGCCACTCACAAGTTCCAACTTCACCATCATACATTAGCCCCTCAGTTAGCCCCTTATTTTTCTCTAGAATCTCTCATTTTCAAAGGTAAAATGTTCCTGAAGCCCCCTCCTCCTGGTCATGTATAATACAGAAATTAAACTTTTAAACTCTTAATTTGCTCACAAACACTTTGCAGAATAAAAACTGAAGCTGTACCTACCCCCTGTCTTGGGAAATTAATCCATCCATAGCACTCTGGGTTGCAAAAGGTGTTTTGAATCTCAAACTCTACAGAGGTTTCTTTTATTATGAATAGACTAGGATGTGGAAGATAAAGGAAGACAGAAGGTGGACTATTTTCTGTGACTAATAATATAGTAGCAGACTTCATCAGGGCAAGAAGTTAAACTACATACAATATTTTTAATTGATATTGGTCATAAAATCCTAAAACAATCAACCGACTACAAAAGTATTCATTTAACTATTACCCAATAAAGTGAAGTGGTTTGTCTATAACACTAGTCTTCAAGCTACAGTATTTTCACCCTTACCAGTATAAACAAAATTAACCACCCATCACTCTAAAATGTTTAAGATTGCCTTATAAACTACATTTTAATCTTTTTTAAGTGGAGAAGATAGAATACAAAGTAAGAGATCCTTTCTCCTACAAGGTTAAGAAAGAAGTTAACTTCTATTATAAAATAAATCCAGTGTAAGGTTGAAACAAATTTATAAATCTTCACAACTTAAGGTCCCATTTTGCAATCACTCTTTCAGAAATATATTCTATATACATACTTATGGACTAGCGCAAAGATTTAGATACTAATTGTTCACTATAGCAACATTTGTAGAAAACTAAAAACAACCTAAATGTCTCTTAATAGGGAATGGAAAAATAAATCATGGAAAATGAATAAATTATGGTTCATCTAAACTAGGCAAGACATCCAGTCTTTTTTAAAAATCAGATGGACACATGTGCTAAAACAGAAAAATCTCTAAGATATATCAAGGATAAGAATGAAAGGTAGAAGAAAGTTCTCCTAAACACAGGAGATTACATATGCAATAGAAATTTAGAGAACATACAGGAAACCATTCAAAGTGGTTGCTTGGATTAGGGAATGGGGGAGTGAGAGAAGGCTAGAAGTCTGTTGTGGAGAGGAGGCTTCCTTTGCACTATGTAACACTTTTTTTTAAACGTTTTATCAATTTTTAGAAGTCCTACAAACATCTACTGTACCCATGAAGTGGGCATTCTCTTTCCCTGTATGTATGCCAGGTCTTCTCAACAATTTTTACTCTTATATACTGCTCTCCGTACCACTAGACCAAAACAAAAGCAGACACTTTAGCAAATACCAGAGTTTCCCCAAGAAATAGAATCCTTTCTCCCTCCCCCGACCAGAAGAAAGAAGTAATAGAATAAATGAAAAAGTTTAACTTAAACTAAACCCAGTTTTTAGCCCAATGTTCAATTCCTTGTAAGGCAAAAAGTTTTAAAAATAAAGTGCAATATGCAACACACACACACACACACACACACACACACAAAATCATTTCCAAAGGTATAGTCTAGCTAGTATCTTAAAAGGAGAAATGGAGAAAAAGGTAAAATTTTACTCACAGGGCAAATTCTGCTCAATCCCTTCCCTCTGAAGTTTTAAAAGTTGAGTTTTGAACAACCGTCATAAAGTCTATTGTTTGCAAACTGGATAAAGTGGTACATTTTCCTGGTTAAAGGTCCATCTCTACCAGAGTCTCCAGAAAAAAGTAACTACTTAAAAGGAAAAGGCTATGAAATGGCCTCTATTTTGTAGGTGCACCTATGGTGAAGACAGAAGAACTGTATTTCCTCTTAAATGATCCTCATCAACATTCCCAGCACTCTGCCAGGAGAATTTTTTTTTTCTATACATCTTCAATTCTGTTCCTTTTCAAACTAGGAGCACAGTAAATTCACAAAGAGCTTAGGAAGACATAGCTCTCATTTCTAGTAAAAATATGTTTTTGGTTTTGTTTTGAGAGAAAAACAATCTACTTGACAAATATACCCTTCTATCACTTTTTTCCTTCATTATGGAGATGCTTAAATCATGACATAAGAAGGCTTCTCTTACATATCTACCTTATCAAGACTGTTAGTTATGGTGGTTTCCACAAGGGATTTTCCAAAAGGGAATCTCTGTTTACCGGGAACTGAAACTCTTAATTAAGTCACTATTTGCTAGACAAAAATCAAAAGCAACATTAAGGAACACTCTATATATAAGAGTGAATATCCAAGAAAATAAGATGCCAAAATTTAGTGAAATAATTAAAGGAACCTGGTAAGCAAGACCAACTTACCATTACTTTATAGTTGGTAACTAACTATAAAGTTCCCTAAATTTGAAAATCAAGGTAAAATAAGATGAATTCCAAAAAAGCAAAAGAAAACAAGGCTAAGAATATCAAGTACCCTGTGATTCAAGGTTATTTTGCTTAACAATATTTTTAAAGCCAAAATGATCAAATTACATTTCAGCAATAAAAAGTTATTTCTAGTTTACAATGAATTCATTCCAATAATAAATCACAACTTCCATACAGACTTTCCTCTATAACAGAACTTACATAAGAACTCAATATAGTCTCATTCCACATTTTTAAGGATTCACAAAATAGGTGAGACCTTTCACTGAAAGGATATTTTGTATACTGTAGATTCTTCAGTAAACTTTTGTATACCTTTCACTGACATTTACTTTGTCCCTAGGCCCCTTCATTTATCTTCCCACATCTGGCAAAAAAAAAAAAAAAAAAAAGTGGGGGAAGGGTATAATTACAACAATCCACTTAGAAACTAACTATTCTAAAGCCAGATATTCTGCAAAAGTTCCATTTTTATTTCCTTACCATACTTCAGGACAATAAGTATCCAGCAACAAACCTAACAAAGCTAATACAACACTCCATATACAATGACTGAAGGCATCTAAAGAGGCAGTGACAAACTTCTTGCTTCCCTCTATTCCAATTTTAAGATCCATATCAATGACTCACAAAGTGAGTGACCTAACTTTCTAAATGAATCACACTTTCTGAAATTCTTACTCTAACATGAATATTACACTAGGTCATCGTCTCTATATTTGTTAAACAGAGCATGATGATGGTTAAACAGGGTTAATTCTGCCAGACTTCCAAACCACAGCCAACCTCAAGTCTCTGCCAACTAACTCTTATCTGCAATACTGAATTCTCCAACAACTGAACCTTTATGTATAGATTCATCCCTATATAAAATGCTATCTTGAAAAAAAAAACACGTTATTTTAAATACTATGAACTCGCCCACCCATACCTGTTCACCATCTCTCTGGTTCCATTTACTGCATCCACGTTCTCTTCCCATTGTGATAACATAAAAAATTAATGGCTACTCAGTTATTCCTACAGAGTATCTTTTAGTCAACTAACCTAGTCTGCAGTTTTTCTGTTTAAGGCAGAAATGCTGAGTCATTAAATGGAAACTCATAGAAAATGAGCTACGAACGCTTAAAGTTTAGGATACAGAATTTCCCTAGCCGTGTCTCAGCAGCCTAATATTTGTATCTCCCACAGTGGAAAAGTAGAGCAAACACTTGAACTTTTTTCCGCTCTAAGAAAGAAAAAGAAATGCGTTTCCTTAGGTCCGCCTGCTTCCTCCTGGATATCCACAGGCAAGAGAAGCAGGCCCGACCGCAGCTGTGTAACTTAACAATCTGGGTGTGAATAACACCCCGTATTAGTCAAGCATTAACCCCGACACTCCTAGCCCGCGCTTCAGTTAGGGTCAAGGAGGAAGAAAAAAAAAATCCCATAAAAATGCTACGCCCTCCACCGGCCTGACACGGTTCGCAGGGGGGACAGAAGCAAGGGAGTGCCGCGCCGGGAAAAAGAAGGATCCTCGAGCACCCGAGGCAAAGGGACAGCGGCCCAATGCAATTTCTCCCACAATGGGAGTAACCCCATCCCCTCGCACAGACCGAGGGCGCGCGTTAGAAATCAGGCGTGCTGCCGGCGAACGCGGTAGGCTGGGGGAGACCGCGACCCGAGAGCCCGCAGGGAAACCGGGCCCCCAGCAGGGGTCAGCGGCGGCGCGGGTCGCACGGGCTGCAGAGGCCGGGAAGGGGCCCCCGGGACGGCGGGAAGGACGGACCTTACCTGTCCTGGGCGCGGGCTGTGGCTACGACGCCGCCCGGGAAGGGCCGGGACGCGGGTCGGCCGCCGGGAGCCGGCCGGGCAAAAAGCGAGGAGCGGAGGGCGAGGGGCGCGGACGGCGAATTGGGTCCCAGGCTCTCGGCCAGGTGGGCCGGGCTAAACGCGGCGGCTCCCGGAGCCCGCGGCCGGTGGGTCCGTCACGCCGGTGGGTCCGTCACGCCGGTGGCCCCGTGGCGCGGCGGCTAAGACAGAGACAGCGGGAACCGGCCCCCGGGAGGAGCCGCAGCCCGAGCGGCTGGAGAAGGAGGCCAAGGAGGGGCGGGGCCACAGGGTCGGTGACCCGCTTACCCGGAAGCAGTTGCGACCGCGGCGGCGTGCGCTGCGGGACGGGCAGGATCCCGGCGTGGCGGCGGACGGTCGGTTCTTCTGCGGCCGGCTGCGCGCCGCCCCGGGAGCGGTGCTTCCGCTGCCGTGCGCGGCCACAGCGAGCTGCAGGCGCCGCGCTGGAGGGAGGGTGACGAGGTGCGACTCCGGTGGGCGGAGGCCCGGTCGGCCTAGAGGTGGCCCCTCGGATCCCGCGGAGGACCGGAGGCCGGGAAGGTGAATCGAGGCGGGCGCCCGCTCGAGGCTGCACCTGCCTGGGTCGCCCCTAAACAGTCCGGCCTAGTGGGCTTGGGTAAGTGGGCCTGGGCAGCGGTTCCGACTGTAGGGAACGAGTGTGCGAGAGTGAGTGGGTGTGATGGCAACGCGAAAAGCCTTATTTCCAAAATGAAAACGCGTGATTTTAAGATGGTTTCCGGAGAAGAATGCGGCGGTGCTGGGGGCGGGAGAGGAGGCGGATGGAGGGCTGTAGAGGCCTTTAAATATCTGCTAGACACGGACGTGTCATTCATTCCAGAAGTGTCTCGAGATTCAGCAGGTTCAAGGCGCTGGAGAAAGGCCAGGGCCCAGCCCTTTGGGAAGCCTACCCTCGGGGGCGGGGGGGTGGGGGTAGAGCGATTTACTCAGACAAACAAGGTAATGACAGATTGTGGTAAGGCTGTGCAGGAAATACATAAGGATGATGTGACTGTGTGGGCGAGACCCCTTTTTCAGGATAGGATGGCTAGAGAACCATCCTCAAGAGGGACGTGACAGTTGAGCATCTTCCTGGGGAAAAGGCACGAAATACGCTTAGACACAATTTTACAGACAGGGAGTGCAGGTTCCGAAACCTGCTGAGTACGCCCCCGGATTCCATGTGAAGAACCTGTGTCTAAAGCCTTCTAAGGCCTGTCTCGGTGCTGTCCACTCTTGCAGTTTCACAAGGCTTGCTCACCCTTTCGAGTAGATGGAGCCTGGGAATATGGCACTCTTAGCAGAGGTTCAAGGCATGAGTTAGGGAATGTTAGTCCCCAGGCGTACGTCAACAGGCGCTTCATCATAGGGAGAATTACACTATCAGCCTTGAAAGACAAATTCTTTATTTAACCTTTTACCATTTTTTCTTCCATGTCACTTTTTCTCAGACCCATGAGTAAACACTAAAACTATGATTTTTACCTGGGATCAAGAGGAGTTTTGGGCACCTGGGTGGCTCAGTCAGTTCGGTGTTTGCCCTAGAGTCAGGTCATGATCCTGGGGTACTGGGATCAATCTCCACTCCCCCGCCGCCAACCTCCCCACCCCGCCAAGGCTCCCTGTTCAACCAGGAATCTCCTCCTCTCTCTCCCTCTACCCTTCCAGCCCGCTTGTGCTCTCTTTGTCGATCTCACTCTCTCTCAAATAAATAAAATCTTTAAAAATTAAAAAAAAAAAAAAGAGGAGCTTAATCTTCCCAAAAGATCATACTCTTATAATTAATGGCCTATTTTGCTAAACCAGTTAAAATCAAAATAAAAAGCCAACTTGAAAAAGAGAAGACTTATTCATGTGTTAATGTATTACCTAAGTAATACCAATAAATCCAATAATATTTATTAAATATTACTTTATATAACTGCATAATTAATAGAACAATTGTCTGGATAATAGTAGGATTAGATTCTCTTGTCCTGTATATTTACCCCTTAGCCATTTGTTTTGACACTTACCAAACTAGCAGAGGAAGAAATATTTTGTTGCATCTTCTGGGAAAACTGGGAAGGATCTCACACTTATTGCTACCTACTGTCTGCACAGCATTGTGCTAGGCACTTAAATATAGCATTCCTTGCAGTTCTAGGACCAACCTTGAGATATGGGGATTATTATATTCATTTTAGTAACAAATACATTGAAATTCAGAGACTCTGACTAGCCTAAGGTAACAAAACTAGTTGCTGAAAGAGTCAGAATTTTAACTTGGGTCTTTCTAGCCCTAATTCCCCTTCTACTATGCATTGTGTTGCTAAACTCTAGTATTTAAGAAGGGAATATAAGTGAAGTGTCTAGCCAAGCAGATTTCTATGTTGCTTTAATAAGCTTGAGATGAGGCAATTTTAGAGCTTCTCTGTGTTTTTACTTCTCCTGTTATAGGATATTTGCCATCTATCTGGCATCAAGAAAGCTACTCATAAAAGTTCATAATGCCGTGTGTCTTTAGAATGCACCCAAGAATGTGATCAATTATGACACTGACATTTTGTCATTGCAAGGGAGTCCTGCCTAAATGTGTCACTCTGAATTCTTTTGCAAGCAGCCTTTCCTTGCTTATTAAGTGATTTCTTTCTGCCAAAAATATGTGTTCCCAGATTTTTATGGAATATTGTGACATGTGAATGCCCCCAGGTCTGTGTAGGCTGGCTGCTCTAGGGACATTTAATGGATGAAGGAGAATCTTGCAAATGTTTATACAGTTTTGAGGAATGAAGTGGTAGGATTTGTACATTTTTTTTCCTTTCATATCAGATCTGTCACATTTTTCTTTGATGATGTCAAGAAATACAGGTTTTTCTTTCTCAAGAGTAAACACTCATTTTTGTGGTTTTTGCAAAATTTGTTGGTTTTTTTGCAAACAGTACTATGTTTCACTCTCCCTGTGGCTCTGGAAAATATTATTAGTTCAAACATTAAAATTAGGATGCCACTTTTCAGAGCCTAATATTTTTATTAGTAATGTGTGTGCCTGTCTGTCTGTCTGTCTTGGAAGCATTTTTAAAAATTTTGGTTAACTCCTTACAAACCTATGGAAATCTGGCAAACAAGTCTTCAACTATGTATATTTAAATTCTCTTTCTAAAAATTCCTTTTTCCCTTTACTATTTTTCCTGGGGTCTTCTTTTTTTATTTTTTAACTTATTTATTTCACTTTTTATTTGGAAATAATTATAGACTCACAAGAAATTGCAAAAATAATACAGAGAGGTTCTGTGTAGCCTTTACCCACTGGTAGCATCCCCCCACTGATAGTATCTTGCATACCTGTAATACATTATTAAAACTAGAAAATTAACATCTTACTAAAATTAATGTCTTTAGGTTTTTAGTTTCTTTTTACGTTTCATGATATCCAAAAATTACCATTTTGTAAATTCATTTTTATTGTACTTGGTTGGGCTCTTCTCCCTTTCCTAAATTAACAAATGATAGAGTCAATAAGCTTGCCAAAGGGCTCATCTGGAATTACAGGTTTACTAAAAACTTCTGTTCCAGTGCACTTGAAATCATTTGTAAGATTTTTGCTTTTTTTCTGCTTTACTGTTCCGTGTCATTCTTCCCTAATAAACCTGTAAATGTATATAACCTGTGTATGTGTGTTTTAATATATCCTCTGATCACGGAAATGTTTTCAAAGAGATTGCTTTTAAAATTAAAAGAAAAATAGGGGCGTCTGGGTGGCTCAGTTGTTTGGGTGTCTGACTCGATTACAGCTCTGGTCATGATTGCAGGGTCATGGGATGAAGCCTCACATCAGGCTCAGCAGAGTCTGCTTAGAATTCTCTCTCCCTCTGCCCCACTCCCACCCTCTTGGGCTCTCTAAATAAATAAAGTCTTGGGGCACCTGGGTGGCTCAGTCGTTAAAGGTCTGTCTTCGGTTCAGGTCATGATCTGTAGGTCCTGAGTTTGAGCCCCACATCGGGCTCGCTGCTTGGTGGGAAGCCTGATTCTCCCTTTCCCACTCCCCCTATTTGTGTTCCCTCCCTCACTGTGTCTCTCTCTGCCAGATGAATAAATAAAATCTTTTAAAAATAAATAAATAAAAGAAAGTCTTTAAAAAGATAAAAAATGCAAAGCTTTTCATTTGGGGAACAAAAAACATTTCCAGGGGCACCTGGGTGGCTCAGTCAGTTAAGCATCTGCCTTTGGCTCAGGTCATGATCCCAGGGTCAAGGGATTGAGCCCCGAGCCTCTTGTCAGGCTCTCTGCTCAGCGGGGAGTCTGCTTCTCCCTCTGCCTGTGCCTCTGCCTTTTATCCCACTCCGTCTCTCTAAATAATAAATAAAATCTTTTACAAAGTTTCAGGGCACCTGGGTGGTTCAGTTGGTTAAGTGTCTGCCTTTGGCTCAGGTCATGAGCCTGGAGTCCTGGGATTGAGTTCTGTGTCTGGCTCGCTACTCAATGGGAAGTCTGCATCTCAGTCTCCCTCTGCCCTTCCACATGCTTGTCTTCTGTCTCTCTCTCTCTCAAAATCTTTTTTAAAAAATAAATAAGTAAAATAAAAACTAAAAAGTTTCTAAACATCTTAACTATCCAAATGAGAATGCCACGGTCTTTTGGTTCAGAAGCCAAATCTCACCTGTGGCTAATTCTGACTCTGGATTTTCCTGGTCAGATAGCTCACCGTTTACTCCACTAGAGAGTAAACAAAGGAAAGAAAAGAAGTGTAACTTACTTTCTTCAGTCTTATTGGTGAGGAAAAGTTGATAAGAGGAGAGAAGTTGGAATTTGGTGTAGGTATCAATTATGTATGAGCGCCTGATCACAGATAATCAAGTGATGGCTCTTCTGCATTATATATTTATTGTAAATGAGTAGTCAAACATCTTTCATACTATGGTCGTTTAGCAAAGGTATTCACCTACTGTGTACCAGGTACCCAGTTAGACACTAGTAACAGGGACACAACAGGATCGATCTTTTTAAAGGAGTATTAAGCTATTACTATGTGCCAGATACTTCACAGATTATAGGGATCGAAAGGGAAGAAAAAGGAAAGCTGTGTTTTCTTACGAAAATTACTGTCTGAATAGGGAGACAAATTATCACACAAAAGGAACTTTATAATCCAGATAAGTATTACTAAGGGTAGGGAGGTGGTGCATGAGGGCATTGATGTGGAACTCAACCTACTCTGGGGTGTCCA